TTATGTTTACTATTTTATTTATAACAAATGTGAAAAAGAATCAATATCATATAAGGTAAATTCTAAAAGTTAGAAAGAAAAAACCAAAAAAACACGCATAAACTCACTTTTGCACGTTTGAACCAAATTATTTAAATATATCCATTTTAATATTTGGTCCGCAAACCCTTATTAGCCATAATTTTATTAATGCATTTTGGCATTCCCTCTACCAAATTTTTTATAACATCTTCAGGGATTTGATCCAATTCCGATGTTACACGTTCCCAAAGGTTGGCCATGTTTGTTGGGGCTGCTTCTTACTGGCGGAGCCGTTTTTTCAAAATTGATCAAAGATTTTCAATCGGATTGAGGTCGGGACGTTGTGCTGGCCACTCCATTAGCTGAAAATGTTGTTTGCCAAACCATTTTTTGACAATTGTCGGTGTGTTTCTCAGACTGCAGCTCAAAAAAAGGCGAAATATGACTCCCAAACCGCTAGTCAAAGGTAGAAAAAAAATTATTGACAGACTCAGATGCTCGACTTATGATGTCCAAAATGTGAAAAGTCAAGCTGCTCATACCAAAGGGTGCTTCTATGGCCATTAATAAAAATGTTAGCCAGTGGACGGCCAGGGAGAGCACTGCATAACATTGGTTATGTGTCAATCGTTAAACCTGCATTATCTGCCTAGAACGTTAAAGCATAATTGGATATGCTAAAGACGACAAAAACTGGACTACTGATGATTGGAATCGTGTTATCTGGTCTGATGAATCCAAGTTAAACCGCTTTCAATCAGATGGAAAGAAATACTGCTGGTGCAAGCCCGGTGAACGTCTTCAAAGGCACCATGTAAAGCAAACTGTAAAACATGGCGGCGGAAACATAATGGTTTGGGGATGCTTCACATGGTGGCATGTTGGCCCTCTGCATTTGGTAGAAGGTAAAATGCGAAAAGAGGACTACCTAAAATTTTAAAAAATCAATCTTCCCAATTTTATGGAAAAATATGCTTATCCTGAAGACTAAATTGTTTTTCACCAAGAAGGGTGATCCAAAGCAAACACCGAAAATTGTCAAAAAATGGTTTGGCAAACAACATTTTCAGCTAATGGAGTGGCCAGCACAACGTCCCGACCTCAATCCGATTGAAAATCTTTGATCAATTTTGAAAAAACGGCTCCGCCAGTAAGAAGCAGCCCCAACAAACATGGCCAACCTTTGGGAACGTGTAACATCGGAATTGGATCAAATCCCTGAAGATGTTATAAAAAATTTGGTAGAGGGAATGCCAAAATGCATTAATAAAATTATGGCTAATAAGGGTTTGCGGACCAAATATTAAAATGGATATATTTAAATAATTTGGTTCAAACGTGCAAAAGTGAGTTTATGCGTGTTTTTTTGGTTTTTTCTTTCTAACTTTTAGAATTTACCTTATATGATATTGATTCTTTTTCACATTTGTTATAAATAAAATAGTAAACATAAAAAAATTTACTTTGTTAAATTATCTCGTACCGTTCCGTTTTTATGGACGACGAAAGTCAGTTTTGCGAACATGCACTCACTTTTGCTCGCCACTGTATATATATTTTTTTTTTAACTTGCTGTGCCATTTTGCGGAATGCGAACTGTGGGCTCCTTGTTGCATCGGTTCTAAACCGTTTGCGTTTGCCAGTGTTTCGCGCCCATTTCGGAACGTGTTTTCTTGCCATTTGCGGCTAAAGGCGAACCAAGCCAAGCCAAACCGAACCGAACAGAACAGTTTGTTTTCCCAACTTCCCGGACTCTCTGCATCCCGGAGTTAGTCTCTGTTTTTTATGCTGTTTGCTATAGTAATTAAAATCCCAAATGTCCATAAATAGAACAACTAGAAATGGGAATGAGAACGAGAACGAGAATATGAGGCAGCAACCCAAACAGAACTCACACAGAAATGGAAAGGGGGAACTAAGAGTAGAGAAACAGAAGCTGGAACTCAGATCTTTAATTGAGATCATAATTCATTGGAACTCTGCACTCGGACTCGCCGAAGATCCCTCAAAAACCAAAATCAAAACCGAGAACGCACATAAACATTTTGTCTGTTCCAGCAGGAAGTTCGTATTTAAAATAAAAAACTAGAGACAGTCACGCACAACTCACAGAACAAAATTGTAAACCAAATCCAGTGGACGGACGGGCAGGCTAGAATTTACAGTCAATTAGCATAAAGACCTTTGACTTCTCCGTAGTGTCGAGGCCTACGCCCATTTTCCTGCCTTCCGTTTCGTTTGCATTGGTGATATTAATCTGGAATTCGGTGCTGTAAAGTCCCTTTACTTGCTAACGAAGCAATACCGAATGTTTTTGGTAGTTTACCTAGGCCTTTAGCAATCTCTGGGTCAACAAACTGCGTGATTTGAGATTGTCGATGGAAGATATCAGTTTAAACTGTGTGATTTCAGATTGTCGATGGAAGATATTAGTTTAAAGCTCAAAGATTTTTTGTGTCTTAGGTCTTCAGGTGCTTAAAAAATGTATTTTTCTGGTTTACTTTTTGGTAAAAATTAAATATATATTTTATAGAAAGATAAAGTTTATATAATTTTTCATTACTAATTTAACATTATAGATTTTTTGTTCTACATTTTTTCGGTTCACTCTTTATTTGTTTATTTAGTTTCTTGATTACGTTTTATGTTTACTCTTGTCGTCTTGCGTTGAGAGTGCTGGTGTTGTCGTTTTACCGCATTTAAAAGTCATTAGTCGCAGGCCTCAATCAGCATTTCTCAGCCGTATCTGAAAAGGGGATTCCCCTTCCCCACTTTCATATTTCTACTCTTTTTCCATCTCTGTGTCTGCCCCTTTATTATTCCCTTATTCCCTTGGTGATTCTCCGCTTCTCCACTTCTCCAGTTCTCCAGTTCTCTGCTTCTGTTTTGGTTTGATCAGTTGGCCAAGTTCCCTGCCTCGGGGCTCTTTATCTATCATGCACTGTCATTAATTGTCGTTTAGTTTAGTCCTTGGTTTATGGCTTCCCCGGAACCACACAGCCCCACCCATTCGCCCATTCACCCATTACCCATCACCCACTCCCTGTCGGCGTAATTATGTCCATTAGCGTGCCGTGCCGCAGTTGCAGGCCACAAGAAGCCAGAAGGCAGTTTCAGATTCTCTGAGCCCGCTTCGAAAAGTCCAGGCCATTTGGCTCAATTGTCTTGGCACGTTTCTGGTTTTCTCCCTTCGGACGCCTCGGAACTTCAAACAAATTTGTGCAACTCACGCGGCCACATAAACACACACACACGCATACACACACATGCGTTTGGAACATCAATATGGAAGTTGATGCACAGAAAGAAATAAATTCAGGAGCAAAAATACACCCTAGTAGGTCGCCTATTATCGGAAAAAACCAGATAGGAATTTTGTAGGAGAGGCAAATTGGGATATTGGATGTTAAATGTTAATATTTAACTTTCTACTTTTATGTTTCTCTCTGTGCTGACCACTTGCCTCCCTGCAACGAGTTGTACAAGATTTATTTAGCCCTTTCCCTGTCTCCTTGTTCTGTCCTCGTAAGTTTAAAAATAATTTCCCTTGTTTTTTGCATAACTTCCAACGTCGGCCTATGTTCATATATCAGCCACTCAGAAAAAGGGCTGGAAATGGGTGGGGAATTAGGGAAAGAAAAACAAAATCCAAGAGTTATAACTTTGTTTTCCTTAAAGCAATTAAAAACTCAACATTGTATTTTAACCATAACCCAGATTCAATGCACTTTTAAATTGAATCAATTTTTTGTTGTTTAAAAGGCGTTTTATTTTTTAGACATCCTAATGCTTTTATTCACTTCCAATCCAAGACTCAATTTATGCAGAGGAGAATATTTTCCAGAAATTGTACAATTCCTCTGACTTATTTAAGGTGATCAGTTTTTCCCCCGTTTCCTGCGAGTCCTGCTTTGCATGCTTTTACCATTTCTGCCAAGATAAGGAACGGAAAAACTGGCGGGGAATCCCCGTTGCGCAAATGCTGCCAAAATGCATTTCTTCTTTCAAACGCTCGAGAGCAAGACAATTTTTGTTACTTGTCGTTCCCCCCCCAATTTTTATTTGATTTTTGTATATTTATTTACTTAGCCCCCGAATGTTGTTCATGACTTTCCATCGGTCCCTCAAAGATTTTCTGTATTTTGTGTCTGTTTGGTTTTGGTCGCGTGTGTTTGTTTGTTTACCAGTTTATTTGTCGTTCTTGGCTTTTTGGCACACTTAACTTGAGCAGTGAAACAGGCAGGGAACAACAAGTGAATCAATTCACTAGCTGATATTTATTAAATCGCACACTTGCATTGCTTCATAACTTTGTGTACTTTCATTGCTATATCTTGCACCATACTTAAATTTTATTTCATTTCTTCCCCACACCCATTGTTCCAATAAAAGGTCCAACCGAGGGCGCCACATTTTCGTATCGTGTCTGAGGGATAATACCCTCGTCAGCATTGAAATTGAGCCTGCCCCCCAATTGCTTGTTTACAGCCAATATATAAAGTTCCTCGAAAGAATTTTCTGTTCAATAGGCAGATGGTCGGTCAGTTTGTTTTAGGAGCTGCAAATGTTTGGACAGCTTCCTCCAACGACTACGGCCCCCTTGTTTTTTTCTTTTGTACCTCCTTCCCTGAATGTTTGCTTTGCCGCTTGTAGTTGGCGTTTAATTGGGCAGATAACGCGCGACGAGTTCATCGTCGAGAAGTCATTGTTATTGTTTATGTCACACATAACTGGGACACACAAATATACAAATATACACGAATGCCCAGAAGAAAGAGTAAGACGTGTACCCCACGAAATAAATGCCCCAAGTCGTCTGTCTTGATGGTCTCATGGCAGCTGTGTCTCTCGCCCTTTTGTGTGGCATTATTTAAGTGACCCCTTACTTTAATCTAAAACCCCCTCGCATTTTTATTCCAAGCTCTAGAACAATACCAAGTTATTCGAGTTTTAATCAATTTCTTTTGTTTTCGTTTCAGGTGAGTCGCCTTTCTTAGAAGCTAATTTAGTGGAAGTGTCGTCACGTAATCGTTTGGTTGGTAAGCCACTCAAAATTGATTGAAAACGATTTTGACTCATTTTAATCAAAACTCAACAAAAATATTCTCTTCAAATTTTTAACAATTTTATTTGATGTTACAAAATGGCAATCATGTTTCTGAGCACTTGACTTTCATTCATTTCATGTTGCCTTAATGTTTCGCAACTTTTTCCATTGATTAATCCGTTTATAAATGGGCAAACATTTCATTTTTTTTTCAACTTTTTATTTGTGTCTGATGCCAACGAAATCCCCATATTATTAGCCATCCCAACTCCCTTTATTGGTGTTTGGTCTGCCGTATTCCCTTTCATACCTCAAACTTTCTAGGGGAACTGGGATCTGGGGGAAGTACGAGTATTCAGTTTTCCGCTCTTATCCAGATGAGCAGCCATAAAGTCGAATTCCTTTATAAGGCTTCTGTTTTCCCAATGTTTAATTCGTTTTCCGACTAGGTTGTTGTTTTAATATACTTTTTGAAAATATAATACATAATGTATATTAAATAAAAAATAATTTATATTTGCATTAGTTGCAAGGTTTCACAAAGTGAAGTTCTTTTCAGTAGATAATAGTGTTAGGGCATTCAAGCATCGGTTTAAGGACTAGTTCTTCATCTCTTCCTTTTTCAGTAAAAATAATTTTTGTGTAGCTCGTGCGACCGCAGTTGAGAGTTCATTTGGTGTTGAAGGCTCCGGGCTTCGGAGAGGATGAGGAGCATTTGGAGCTGCTGCTGGATTACCCCTTCACTGATTATATTTTACTGCACTTGCCGGCATGTTTGGATTTTTGCCCCATTCAGACACTTTCTGGATGCCATGCTGCTGCTCTCATGCACATGCGAATGTTCTTTATGGAGTTAAAAATGCATATAAATCGCATTTAAATTTTATGGTTGACACTTTGTGCCCTGGTTTTTGTCTCATTTTGCTCTCTTTTCCACTCTTTCTCGCCGTCGGTCATATATTTCACTCGAAAATATTTCGTTTCTCCTCTGGCACTGCCGCCCAGGCAATTATTTCATTTTAATAAACCATAATTTATTTATTTTTTGGCTATTTTTAATTAAGTAATTGATAGATTCCGAAAAAGGCCGACCAACGATGGCCGGTGGTCGGTGGTGGGGGGCGCCAAAATCGATGGAATTTAATTAAATATTTTCCGTTTTCTTGTCCATAAACTTTTATGCAGTCAAAAAAGGGTTGCTTGCTTGCGAGTTCAACAAAGTGGAGTGGAGTGGAGTGGAGGTCACGAAAGCAAAGCTTCCTATTTTGGCTTGCTTCCGTTCCTTGCCTTTCACTTTTGGCGGTATCGTAGTCCCTAGAACTCGTAACGTCAAAATGTCAGCCGCCAGCACAAAGTAATCTGTAGTCCTTCCCCACCTGACTGGTCTGTTTTTAATCCCACCCGAAACGCACCTGGGCGCCCCTTTTGTTTGCCGCTTGATAATCAAACACAATTTACTACACGCACACCGCCCAAAAATGCGGAGGAGTTAGCTACCTAGTTTGCCAGCCTTTTGTTTTGCCTACTTATGTGCATTTTATTATTTTCGGTTTGGGGAAAAGTTAGGAAGCCAAGTCACAGGACAAATCACACAATGCCAGTTGGTCACGTTCGTGTTTCAAGTAATCTATGGAATAGGTTTACATGGAATAATTATTAGCTGATTATATTGAGAGTGTGGAGTTTTCATTAGTCAATTATTGTTGATTATCTCACTGAGTTTGGTGCGAGCCTCCACTCTTTGTGGCACACTATTGAGGTATAATCTCGTCCATTAAATTGTACTAATGTGTCTGGAGCAGAGCATTTTAAGTGTGACCAGGCTAATTACTATTTTCCACATAGGCAGCATGTTTACCGAAATTGCAGACAAGTGTGCAAGTCATTCTATGGTGACCCCCACAACACTGTACCACAGTCACACAGTCACACAGTCACACAGTCACAGTTTATTTGCCAACACTAATTATCCGCCACTAATTAGGTTCTGCTTCGACGGAGGCGTGGTGTTGTTCCTGACGTAAACTAATTTTCAAAGTCAATGTCGCGGCGTGGCCCCATGCACCACTTCCAACTTTTCCGCTTTTCCCCCACTTTTCCTCCACTTTTCCCCACTTTTCCCGCTCTTCGCGCTAACTGGTTAACTCCTTTTCCACGTAACGCAAGACTTTCTGTATTGCCCGGCTTTTCCTCTATTGGCCCATTTACCCAGGAGTCCTGGTGAAAACTCTCAGCCCCTTTGTGTTGGCCTCTGTATGTGTGTGTGTGTGTGTTTGTGGGTATTTGTGTGTGTGGGTGCGTGAGAAGTTTTCATTATATATTCATGCTAGGCACCTACCCACCCAAACAAAACCATTCACACACAATTTGCTATTAGACGCTCGTTGAAAACTTTTCGACTTTCGGTTCGCACAATTCAATCAACAACAACTGCAATGGCAACTCGGCTCTCAGTTGAAGAGAAAGGAGGAGAAAGTTGGGGGAAAGGGAGGAGGGAGAGATTATCAAAAATACATAGGGAGAACATTTTAAACTGTGATTAGTTTACTTCTTTAAATAAGGAAAAACATTGTGCTTAAAAAATTGCACAACAATCGCAGTCAAAGGGTGCGAATTTTATTGAAATAATTTTTAGCTGAACTATGATCCCTAAAAACATCTTAAGCTTCACTAATTTCTCTCACTGGCTTAACTTCAACTCATGCAGACTGAGATTTGTTCAAAACACACACACAGGCACGTAAGGAGAATGTGGCTATAACAAAAACGTGTTGATTTGCCGAAATCATTTTCATTTTGATTTTCATTTTTATCGCATGAGGAAAACTTCCTCGATGCAGAAAGTCAATTGTTTCAGCTTCTTTGTTCTATTGAGCTTGTGTTTCTGTAAGTTTTGCTTGTTGAATCCTCCGGATTGTTCACATCCCTACGAGCTGTCAATGTACCATAGTAATCATGAATTTATTCGCTGGCATAATGGTCTATTTTGTGACTAAAACAAATCTTAACTTAATACAAGTTTTATGATGCTGTACTTTAGTTGGATAATTTTCTATTTGTCTTGTATTTGCGCTACCCAATAAAATAAAGTCGCTGGAATAACAAATTTCTGTCTTCTGCAGCCCTTTCCACTTCGGTTAATGAATAATTAGGCAGAGAGTAAAGCATAATTTCAACTTAAATAATTGTCCCATCATTTCCGGAATGAAGTGCTGCCTCGTCGAGTGGCGCAAGAGTGGGGGAAGCGCCGAGTGGTCTTCTCGCTAGCGAGTCAAGTTAACATAGAATCCCTCTGAAGTGGCACATAAATCGTTGCCTACTTCAAGGGAATTTGTCGCAGAACTATTCGTCGCTCTTCCACAGCACTTGCACAGTACTGTATTTTCAGCTACTGTCGAAGGTAGATATCAAAAATTGAGTGTATATATACGAGTACAACTCTCTGTGTAGCATCCGTTCATGTGCGGAGTGGGGATTTTGGAATTTGCATGGCATCGGAAATAATTGGGGGGGCGGGGAGCTTTACTCTGTAGGAACAAAACGACAATGAAGGGGAGAGATTTGATTAGCTTTGTCAAATTGCCCAGCAACCGGAATTCATGTAACTTGTAGCTTGCTCCCGTCCGCCCACTGACCACGCCTTCTGGCCAAGTTGGCGAGCTTATGCAGTTGGCCATTTTGCAATGGTTTCATACAAATATGCGAAGGCCTCAATCAAAGCGAAATACAGGCATTTCGTCGACCGACTTTGATGGACCAAAATTCTCCGATTCACCACAAATACTTTTATGCATTTTTCTCGAACAAATATGGATCTTTTGTCAATAAGGAATTCTCCTAATACAACTATTTAAACATATTTCTTTATCCATGTTTTCCAACCGTGAATCATTTCCCCCACTTTGCTTACGATAATCGAAGCTGTTTTTCTTTAATCACCAACGAGGAACACTGTGGAAATAAAGATTGACAAAGTCCGATGATTCACGAATAAAAGAGTGAGTAATTCGATGTATGGAAAGCATGGAAATAAGCTTAGCAATCTTGTTCTGCAATCTCTATTCTATATTTCTCGCACAAAATGTATGCTCCTCCCGAGGTTTATCTCTCGGCTTTTACCATTCAATTGGCAGCTTTTGCATCCCTTCTGGTGATTCTTTTCATCTTGCGCTTTATTCATACATCCAGTCAGTCGCATTGGAGAAACATTACTAGATAAGTTGAAAGTATAAGCTGTTGATCCTTTCTTCCATATCACTTAAGGTCCATACATCTACTATATACATTTCCCTCATCAAGCAATTTAAATAATATATTTCAAGTGATCTCATCTGCGGACGAGATTGCCGCCAAGCGGAATAGATAATTTCCTTTCAGACTGCTGTTGTTTCCCCATTTTAATTAGATAACATGATTCGGAACATGTACTTTCCCTTATTAAATCCCAGTTCCCCCTCTTTTGGGGTTCGGCCCCTCAATCTCTGTGATCCCAGACGCAGACGTTGCAGGCGTTAATTAAAATTAAGAAAGAAATAATAAAGAATAGAATGAACTGGAAAATGCAGCTGGAAATGCAGCTCCTTATCGTTGGGGCTACGAGAAGGGAAATGTTAAGAGACCCCTCAACTATGTATAAATTCTGGAGTGGGGCCACAAGGGGGGGATAAGTGGAAATAAAACTTCTTATTCTTGGCTGCTGTCTGACAGGCGATAACAACACAAGTTGACTGCACTGTTTTTTTTTTTTTTTTTTTTTATTTGTATTTTTTGGAGTGTCTGTGTTTTTGATGGGGCGGGGAGAAAAGGGGGTTCGGAATTCGAATGCTCTTATTTAGAAATTATGCGCAACTTAGCCTTGTGTGTTTGTGTGTCCTTTTCTGATTCTTTTGCCACTTGAAGTGGAGCATTTCCACCGCTGCAGCTCCGTGTTCCTTCTCCGCTGCTCCGTTTCTTGTTGTCAACAACTTGTTCCCCGGCAAAAGTTTTGGAGCG